AATGTAGCAACACACTAGCCTCTGACAATTATAATAATGGCTAGTGTGGTAAGCAAACAAACTTGAATGGCAATTAAAAAAAAAATCAATTAATTTTCAAACAATGGCGTCTGGGGAGTAGATACACAATTCCAGTCAATATGTGGTTACAGATCGAACAAAAGGCTGGGTGTTACTATGTTGGTCAACAGCAACTACTGTTCCAGAAGCTATTGCTATAGCCACTGAATGATTAATCAAACCACAGTGGTTGGCCTACCCTTTGACACATTCAACATTTATAACTGACCTTCATCAGATCAAATCATAGCCGCCCGTTCTAGTGTTATCAGACAGTTTGAACCATAGCTGACACATTATTATGTAAGCCCAGGGTAGGCATCCACAGGGCACAAGAGGTCCTACAGTCTGTACACGATAACAGTCATATTAATACCCCTTACATTGATTTAGACAACTTACTACACAGGAGATAACTTGAAAAAGAAAAAGAAGCTAGCCAATAGGAGATAGCAGAAATGGTCTTACTGAGTGGTGGAAAAATAAAGTAATATTTTGAGGTCTCAAGCTTTAAAAAAATATGAAGGGACTGCTTATGAAGCCATTTTTAGAATTTCAAACAGGCATATATATGGGCAGCTAACAAAAGCAAGTCTTATGTTGCAATACTTACTAATTAATATCTGAATCATATACACAGTGTGACTGAATTGACTCACTGCAATGCTTGTACACCTAACCAAAATGTTATTGAAATCACAATATGGATTAGTGCAATATTCAAATCCATCAAAAATAATCCAATACCAGTATTCACCACCGGTAAATAATCCATTTAAAAATACTATCCAATTCCCGAATTTGTGCTGCCATTTTTAAACAATACATTCCTTTTAACCTGTGTTCCCCTGATGCCAAGACAATCATGGCAGAGGTCGTGACCTAGGAAGTGACTGCATCTGCTCCCAAATAAAGGTCCTTATCCAGACCCATTCATTGATACGGGTCAGATGTGCCTGAATGGCCTGATTGACGGTGTGTTCAGGAAGATGAGTGGGGATTCATGAGAGGAAGTTCATTGACTCAGCAACTGGGAGCAGAGAGAGCTGTTAAGGAGGCACGTCAGGGGAGCAGATGGAGACAGATTGATCTCTGAGTATGGAAACAACTTCCACACACATATCCTGTGAGACGGTTAAAGTGATGTCAGTGATCACTTACTGTATCTGCTGTCAACAAAAAAATGTGATGAGCCTGCAAGGCAGCGTCTGATACATGATGTACTTGTAGTGTGCTTAAGTGTTTTTTCTGTGATAGATTCCTTATATTCATTCGCCTACAGGTATGCAATCCCACAATATTCTGTTATGCCTGCTGTGCCAAGTTACATGCCAATATTTAAGATTTGAAGTGGACCTATCATGCTATATTTGAATAATATATTGTAGGGCCATACCTACACAAAACATGTCTGTGAAGTTTTTTTTTTTTAAATACCAAACAGATCCTGCATTTTGAGCCACAGCCTCATTTCGGTCTATCTTGCTGTTTTTCCCATCCCCTGTTTTTGCAAGGCTGATTTCTGTGGGCAATTTTGATCCTAAAAACAAATAAATAGAAACGTCTGTTGACAAACGATGAAAGAGACGACCAAACTGTCCTTTTCCCCACATGACCCTCTGGCTAGAGTTTCAGCACAATTTAAAAACTGAGACCCAAACCTGAAGCCGCTTCAAACCCGACTGAATGAGAACACGCCTTGGTTCTTCGAATTTGGTATGAAGCCCCACCGGAACGCTTTATCAATAAACAGCCCAAATGAACTCTAACTCACTCCGGGCTTTTATTTTGTAAAACTTTCTAGAGTTACAAGATATATTGGGTGTTCTCCATCGCAGAGTACCTTTGCTTGGTAGCGCACACATGTTTTTCCGATGCGTCTTGCCCTTACAGAAGCGCAGGCAAGAATCCTTCCTGGCATTCGGAAACAAAGAGTGGAACAGCGAGCAAGTGTATAGGTGTGCGTGCGTCATAGAGAGGTCCCCCCGTCCTTAACATTGGTCGTCGACTTGCCTCAGATATGGAAGAACATTTTCCGTGCGCAAAGCATTGTGGGATTTTCAGACCGCGGAGTCTACACAATGTGCAGCCTCGAAATTTCTCCAAACGAAGTAATCCGAGCCGGTAGATTCCAAAGTATGCTGGGGCATTGAAACAGTACTTCGGGCGCACCTCCCGATGACGTAGTAATGGTCGTGAAATGGAGTGGCTCTGGAGCGCTTTACTTCGAGATTTAGAGTTGAAACCTGTTGAGTTTTGAGATTTCCAGAGCAATGTCACGCTTGAAAAGTTGAAGTAGCAAAAAGATTAAATGACGCAATATTGCTTAAACTTTAAGACTGTTATTGTCCCTTAGATTGGCTTCAAATGTTTCTGGATTTAATATGTTTTGTCTGTCTTGATGTTGGGGCACCAAGGACATGTTGTTGCAACCTGG